ATCGATCCGCATCACCCATCCGGAGAGTTCCTAGTAGAAGGGATGAGAATAGTAATCGAGATAATGTAAATAGTGCCGTTGGACATAGCTTAGCTAATGTAAATGATGTGTGTGGAGATTCGGGTAATAACACGAATGATGCAAATGAAAATTTAAGTAATGTGACTTACTCATCTTCATCTGAGTTGATAAATATTACCTCGGCCCTTAATTTATCTGCATTACAAAATGACAGTGATTTAAGTATGCCCGATATAGGGGGGGCCACTGGAATCTATAAATAAAGAGAATTAGCCTCATATTTGCTTTTAGAGGTGGCTTCCCTAAGCCATAAATATTCCTACATCCTATGATAATTGTATAACGGCAATAAATAATTCAAATTTTGATCTATTAGATAATTCGGTTGTGTATAAAACATCACGTGGATGTTCACCCAACATTCAATTTTACGTATTGTGATTTCAGATTCGCTATAAAAATAAATATTCAAAAGAAATGCCTGCAAACAAATATGTGCATTATTTTAGACGCAAACCATCCTCATATCATGAGACATAACCATATTAAAAAAATAATCGGTATAAATTATGGTATGTACAGTACTTCAGTATTTATGTATTACTGTAGAATTTTTTCCTATTACCATTATAGCATTAAAGATATCGCATAAAAAATAAAGTTTGTGATACAAGTAACTTGAATGGTTTGTACCACATTTCTGCAGAATCTTAGTGTTGTGGTCTGACGATCTAACTTGACGAAATATATATTATCGTTAATCATGATTTCTTGTTATAGACAAGGTCATGCAGTGCCTATGCTTCCACTACTATACTTTTATTTAGTAAGATCAAAGCATTATTCTAAGGAATAGGTGATGTGAAGCATCGAGTTTTTAACTCCTGAATCTGTTTTGAATTACCTGAATATGCTTTTAGTACATCATCAAGTGGAATTCCCGGCTCTCTTAAATTAGTGCAATGTAAATAATATATATTTTTACTTCGACTATTTAGCCACTACTTACCATATAAACTCATATGATTTTCTCTACATAGTAGACAATGTGAACCTAAAACCCAATAAGAATCAGTTTGATGCTCACCTTTTGTATCTATGCTATTATTTTTATCCAACTTTGGTGAATCGATAAAATGTGTGGTTAATTTATTAATGACTTGATTACGCATTTCTTTTGACAGCATTTTCTTTAATGGAAAGAGGTTTAGAGTGGGCAATACACTTACCTCAATATTTGATATGTCTTTTGAGCTAGATGGCTTGGTCACGTGCACGTGAACATTGTTCACGCTGGTCACTTTTATTATATTTTGGACTTGTGTATCCGTTAGCCTAGAAATAGCATCAGCACTATACGTAACTTGCTTGATTTTATCTATTCCTATTTCTTTGAATAATGTATAAATATTTCTGGACTTTTGAGTTTTCTTATGCAAATACTCTCTCTTGATGCCAGGAAGAAATGGTTTCATCTCATTATAAATCTGTGTTCTTGCTATTTGATCATTAAGTTCGCTTTTTAAGCTAATGTCTCTAACCTTTTTTTTGAATTCCTCACTATAATGATACCAACGTAAAATTTTTTTTTGACCAGTTTTTTTAGTCTTGTCGAATAAATGGGCCAAATGTGATACAGAACCCGGTGCTGAATTATCACCATCTAGCATATTTTCAAGAATTTGTTTATTAGATATGAAATTCGAAAGGCTTTTCTCATTAGTAAAAGTAGATAACTCATATATTAAACCTTGTTCAACCTTTTGATTATAGGGAATTTTTACTTCAGAAGAAACGGTACTTTGTGTTTGACTAATAGGTTCTTCTGAAATATTCTGATCGATTTTGGATAAAAAATCCTTACATACCGAATCCAGAAAATCGTCGACCATTTTATCTTCCAGAGATTTAGGTTCTGTGTAGGTAGGAGGTAAAGGAGATCGACTATCTTTTTCCTGGTATATATGAACCTTTTCTACCTTTTCAGTAATATCAGAATTTGAAGCATTATTAGGAGCATTGATACCGAGAGTGTTTACAGAGTGGCTAGAAATTGGGGCATTATGTGTCTTAACATTAGCTCTACTATTGATATCAAACGCAGGTGTATTAACGAAATTTTTCATTTCGGTAAGTGTGGTATTAGATACAGAGTATCCTGCTTCACAGACTGAAGAATTTTAATCTCCTTAATTTCATCATCTATCTTTGCCATATGAATGGTCTTTTCATTATCTTTTCGCTCGAAATTTACAAACCTAGCTTCATAATCTTTTAAAGTTTGTTCTAATTCCATAATTCTAGCTATAAAACCCGCTTTCTTGGCCAAGAATTCAGCCTTTTCTCTTTTTAATTCCATGATCTCAGCTACAAGTTTCAAATTTTGTTCTTCTAATAAATCATCTTTAGATTGTGTATTTGCTATTTTTTTATATAAAATATGTATATATTCAATTAATCAAAAATGTTTGTGCGCGTGAACGTTGTTCACGCCGATTACTTTTGCCAAGAAAATTCTCGATCATATTGCGAGTCAATATATATCGATATCAATAAAATAGATTCACGAAATATATATGCAAAAGTAAACTGATTGCGAAAGTGCCATATCCTCTATTCCTTTTTCATAAAAATATTTGGCCACCAGGACCAGCTTTATTGATAGAAAATTATATACAATGGATAATATAAGGAATGGCAAGAGTAGGTGCGTTATATAAAGAATAACAAGGGTAGGGATATATATAACGAAATTAGTGGTTAGATATGGAATAAGGGTGTAAATAACGAAATTAATGGTATATAAGATCGTGATAGATGGCAAAATCGTATCATCTATTTTGGAGGAAGTCTATTACGAGATTAATGACGATTTTGGGGAGGTGAGATTTATCCGTCAATATGACAGGATATCTAGATTTTCTTGATTCATCTATAGCAAAATCAGTAAAAGTAAGGCAGGGGCGACCAGGATACCGATCGTACCTGGATTTTCTTGACATACCACACCTCTCATTTCACGAATGACGGAGGGTCCTATATTACTTTCAGTTAGCATAATTCTTTGAATCAAGCATAAATTAACGCTAAAGTCTACCTATCGGATTATCCCAATTCTTGCACTAGAACAAGATCGTAACCTCACCTATTTCACCAATTATATCTATCCCTCCATCGTTACGCCCCCTATCAATGAACAAAAGTAAGTAAATGTGTCATTGTCATTAACAATTAAAGATCACACACTGGAATAGTCTACAGTGATGTGCTTCCAGTAATTAGCGTATATCCTATTCACCACAGCCCTGGGTGCCGGACCCAGCCTCTCTATATTATATAGGGTAGCTTTCGGATACAAACAGAAGAACGTTCACCATCATATAATGGTGGCCACGATGCGCTTTCAATTCTATTCGATTTTACACCTAGTGACAGCGTACCTTCAGATACACGATAACTCGACAAATACCCAATGAGAATAGAAACTCACCCTACATGCTTAATATTAACTTCAAGACTTTTTAGTAGTTCCACAACATCTACTTCAAATATTCTTCCCTTTATATAGAAAGAGTGCTCAATGACGACGGCAACTACTTCAGTTTCAGGCATTTTTTTGAAAAAAAGTAAAATCTCCAAGATGTAAAGATTACAGTATATCATATTTTTTCATATCTTTTATA